CCATCGCCAGTTTATCTCTTTGTTATCCTCAGTTGTTGTTCCTAAGGATGTCCAGGAAGCCCTTGCCTCTCCAGGGTGGTGCCATGCAATGGAAGAAGAGCTCTTAGCTCTACTTCATAATCATACTTGGGACCTCACCGCTCTTCCTCCTGTGAAGCAGGCTGTTGGTTGTAAGTGGTTTTATACTGTTAAGTATTTGCCTAATGGTAGTGTTGAGCGCCTGAAAGTTCAATTTGTTGCAAAAGGGTACTCCCGAACCTATGGTATTGACTACACCGAGACCTTCCCCCCAGTTGCTAAGATAGAGTCGGTTCGTGTTGTGATCTCTCTTGCAACTATGTATGATTGGCCCCTATATCAGCTTGATATCAAGAATGCCTTTTTGCATGGTGATTTGCTCGAGGAGGTCTACATGGAGCAACCACCAGGGTTGGTTGCTCAGGGGGAGGATGGTAAGGTATGCAGACTAAAGAAGGGTATATATGGGCTTAAATAGTCTCCTCGAGCATGGTTTGGTAGGTTCAGTGAGGTGGTAAAGTTTGGTATGAAACAGTGCCAAGTTGATCATTTCGTCTTCAGTCATGACTCTCTGGCAGGAAAAATACTATTGGTGGTRTATGTAGATGATATTGTTATTACCGGGAATGATAAAATGGGCATTGACAGGTTGAAGACTTTTCTACAAGAACATTTTCAAACAAAGAACCTTGGTAAATTGAAATATTTCTTGGGGATAGAAGTAGCAAGGTCTAAGCACGGTATTAATTTGTGTTAGAGGAAATATGTGCTTGATTTGCTGGAGGAAACAGGTTTGTTAGGTGCTAAACCAGCTGAAACACCTATGGAAACGAATACTAAGCTGAGCAGTGATATGGGTGAAGTGTTTGAAGACCCTAGCAGATACCGACGACTTGTAGGTAAACTAAACTACCTAACCATTACTCGGCCAGATATTTCATTTGTGGTTAGGGTGGTAAGCCAGTTCATGCAGAAACCTCTGATTCCTCATTGGGATGCGGCTCTAAGAATTGTGAGGTATTTAAAAGGGGCCCCTGGTCGTAGTTTGATATACAAAAGTTGTGGAACACTTGAAATAGAAGGGTATACTGATGCTGACTGGGTTGGTTCTATGTCTGATAGGCGGTCTACCACAGGTTATTGCACTTTTTCTGGGGGGTAATCTGGTGACATGGAAAAGTAAGAAGTAGGCAGTCATGGCAAGAAGCAGTGCAGAGGCAGAATATAGAGCTATGGCACATACTGCTTGTGAATTAGTGTGGCTAAGGAACCTTCTACAAGAGATARGATACAAYATTAAYACTCYARTGAAGMTYTATTGTGACAATCAGGCTGCAGTTCATATTTCTTCTAATCC